CCCGCCGGAGGCAGGAGCAGCAGGGGTGAGTGACACCCAACCTACGGAGGCTTCGCGACGGCCGGGGATAAACACGCTACGCTGCAGGCTAGCTGTAGAGCTCTAAAATGCAATTGCAATTACAATAATAATAATCTCCCGGAGAAAACCACTCGGTGGAGCTGAGACCGCTTATCTTCCCCAGAGGCGTCTGTCCCTGCTGGGGGGGATGAGGAGAACAGGCCTGTCGGGCTGTCCCCACGACTGGGCGCCGAATCCTTGTCCCACAAACGGGGCCCAAGAAGAAATTATATTTATGCCTTTTTTGTCACTGATGTTCAAAGTGTGGGGATGGGGCTGCAGGCAGATAATTATTCATTCTAATTAGCACAGAACTTCCTTATCTGCACCAGCAGGGAGTGGAGTGCCAGGAGCCAGGTGGGGGAACGGGGTGAGCAGCCTCCTACTGCATTCCACATTCCGTATCAGGGCCTCAAGGACACAGGCCACTGATCTTCTCGCAGCCCCCATGTCTGCCCTGGCAACAGATGTTTGTTGGCAATGTCAAGCTTTGTGTGATTTGTGCTAGTTTTGTGCCTTCTGCATCTAACAAGCACACAAAAGAAAATCCTGACCTTCAAACTTACTGAGCGTTTTATTGTATTTTATACAGGTGGGCTTTCTGTGACTTCTTTCACAATCAAGATACTGAGATGTATTCATGCCCTCAGCTAATTCAAGTTGTATGGTGCCAGGGTGTTTTTTATAGGTATGTGGAAGGTAATGCATTTCATCTTTGGAATACTTCATTTGTATGGGAATTAGGCTTTAAGATGAGATGTCTTTGTCCATTTCTTACTCTTCTGAGAAATTACACAAAATCTTCAGGTAAGGGTCTGTTCATTTCTGGTGTTTGTTCATTGGATGTCAAATTTCCTAGTACAGTATATTTCCAGGTCTGAAGATGAGTATGTTTGGTATGAGAGAAAAAATCTGAAGTGATGTTTAAGGCTTTTGAAGCATTCTAAATACTTGTTAAAAATCTTGTTATTTCACTTAGATTTATCCATGGGAGGACAGACATCGCAGAAATTTATCCTGGTGATGACTCATTTTTCAAGTCAGAGGGAGCACTTCTGGGAAACTATTTCATACATTATGCAATCCAAAAAGGAACAAAAAAGGTATAAAACTATTTTACAATATGTTCCAAATTACTTCAGCTTAGCAGTTTTCTTAGTTTTAAGACTTTTGGCTGAAGTCCCTACAGTGGTAATTACTATAATGACTCAATCAAGCAATCGGTCATACAAAAAATGAGGTTACTCTGTTTCAGAACATATTTTTGTAAACTATAGACACAGTAAGAAAAAATTTTTTTCATCACAATGTTTCCTAAGATCAAGTATATACCACAGTAAGATTCTACAGTAATTCAGAAGTTTAGTCTTTAAGTAATGTATTGATTAGAGTTTAATCTTTTTGTACTTGGAAGTGTTTTCTTTTTTACTACTGGAAGATGCAGGTTCTGTTCTCACTTGGCCACAGACAAGCTGTTTGGTGCTGGAGAAATGGTTGTGCCTTTCTGTGTCTATCTGTTGTTGGGTTTCCCCAGAGCAGAGATCTTCTCAAGTGCTTATGGAATGCTTTGTATTTTTAAAGCAGACATGAGGGTCAACTTTGTACCCTTCAGATCTAGCCTTTAACTTGTAGTCAAACATAGTTACTCAGTAATGAACTCCAGTCTGGTCTCTGGTAAGAGAACTTCTTGGGGTTGCAAGGAAACTGTGAGCATTTCTTCACAGAGAAGGAGGCTTAAAGGATACAACTGTATAGTTTTTTTTACTTTTGAAGGAGGTATTTTTCTGTGTTCTGAGACATTTAAATGTGATTATGGTTGCTTTCTGGGAGATGGGAAATTTCACATCTTGCAAGCTCTTAATACTGTTTTCATGCTACAATACCTGTAACTAACTTGCCTCCTTTCTGCTCTTTACTGCAGAGAGAAGAGAAGATGTATTCAGCAAACAGCTTACCTCCTGATGTACCAGGAAGTCTGTACTCTGTGTCTTCCATTATTACTGAGGCAAACAAGTAACTTTAATCCACTTTATCTTTGTTACATTAATTCCTCTGACTTTGAAAGGACAGCAATTAAAACTACACATAATATTCATTATGATACAAAGAATAAAATTAAAGGAATTTATATTAGCACTGAGGATGTCTATAAACTTAGAAAAATTACAACTGTTAGAAGACATAGTAAATATGAAATGCTTAGTGTTTTGGTTTTTTTTTTTCCTCCTCAGAATACTTCAATATTGCTACAAGACTAAGCTATCATTAACTCATAACTATTATCTCTGCTGCTGGAAAATGGTATGTAGCTGAAGATGTACAAATCTTTCGGTGTTACAAGGATGATTATACGGTCTTTAGGGAACAGCACCTAATGTGGAGGGAAGAATGGTGGGTGTGTTCTCAGAGATCAGAAGGTATACATTTGGGAACCAGCAGAAGCATGCAATGTGAAGGTGTGTTTGTGAAGTGGAAAGCAATTGCATGATAAGGAGTGCTGGTTGTGATCTGGAAGAATAAGTGAACCGAAAATTTGGAAGAGATACAAATGGCTGTAGTGATGTAAATAACCTTTCCTGAGGTTTTTAAGGGATTTGCTTCTAGGTACCTGAGACAGATGGACGAGAAACGTTGCCTGTTGTGTTGTGTGAAAAGACTATCCCCAGCATAGGAAGACTTGTTGTGTACTCAGATCATAAAGTGCATGCTGCTTTTTGGGATGGCATAGCCTTGAACATGGTCTGGGATTTCACTTCTTCGTGTAGTAAGATTCAGGTAACTCATGAGTCCGATGAATGGCTCTTTTTAAAACTTTTAATGGAAAAATGTTACTAGGAAACCAAGAAAGAAACTAAACAAAAATTATGATGCCTGTAAAATACAAACTGAAGTCTTTTGAAAGACTCCTAACTCACAGCAGTCTGCTGCTGTGTCTTGCTCTTGAAATTGAATGAAAACATGAGCTATCCACAAATGCCGCTGTTAATGTATTGCCAGTATCTTAAACAGAAAGGAGGAAAAGTATCTTAGTGCTTAACTGATGTTTGAAGAAACAAATGAAATTTTATTCTTTTAAGAAGTCACTCACATTGATCAAAGAAGGGAGAATTTGGTTTTCATTTCAAATTATCAAGCAAATGGATAGTGAAAAATTTCTCAGAAAACTCAACTTGCACATAAGGTATTCCATACACACTTCAAAATCTACTTAATATAAAAGTAAAAAGACTATATTGATTTTTGCAAAGTGGCCCTATGGACAAAATTATATGAGTGTGGGGTTCAAGCACTACTGCTGAGACTTTTGGCTTCTGTGTCTGCTTATTACCCTAAGGTGACAAGATAACAAGTTAAAATGTCTGAGGGGATGGTTCTCTATTACAAACAACACAAATACCATAGTCAGTGTGTCAAAAGATACAGTATGACTTCCCCATGTGAGCTACCTCAAATCTGTATATTCAGTCATGTTAAAAGGAGGAAGAACTGAAAATTCTGTGGGTTTGGAAACATTTCTACACACTTTTAGAAATAATTTATTCTTGAATATCACAAAGCAAGTATTAGGGTTATGCTATAACATAATATCATCTTCCTTGGTTATTTTCCCTCCACAACTGTCATAGCAGACTGTACCAAATTCTATCCTCAGCAAAGCACAAACTTAAGTGTTTGAAGTGGATTGTTCATAGGTACTTCATTCTTAAATTGGCATATTATACTTGGTTTTTTCTTCTCCAGACTGCAGCAGAAAATTAATACTTGTATTTTCTTTTTATTCTAAGGTAAATGAAGAAGTAGGCTGGTGTAAGTTAACTACTGCTGACGGGGTGCAGCAGCTAATACCAATCAGTCATCCTGGAATCTATGAAAGGTACAAGTAATTTTAAACCATTTGAAATACAATATAAGAATTCTCTACAAATCCATTTATATGAAGAAATGCTATTTACTGAAAATAAATGGAGGTGGGGGAGCCAATCGCATAATGATGAGAGCTCCTTCTCTATCTGGCAAAAGATTCAGGACCTGTATGACTCAGGACAACTCCATGCTGTCATTCTTTTATAATTGTTCCAGTAATGTCTTTTTAAAAAAATAAGCAGAGCTGCAACTTGTCTCTTACATCAGTCGATAAGAAAAAAAAACAAAACAAAACAAAACAAACAAACAAAACAAAAAAAATAAACAAAAACATTGTCCTATATATAGTTGGTACCTAGATGGTACCTAGAACAGGATACACTTTATACGATTTTTGCTTTATTACAGATACTGAGGTCTGCCTGCAGATTGTTTCCCTAATCTCCCTAATCTGCTGGCTCTAATTGCAGCCCTGTTATGGGAACCATCAGAAGCTCACTGTGCTGCACTTCAGCAAGCAGATTTTCAGACGTAATGCGATAACTAACATTTCTACACTGTCCATTACAAATCATAGCTTTATTATAATTTTTTTTAACCTCATAGATTTAAATGCAAAGGAGATTGTAGACAAAAAGTGGGAATACAAAAATGGCAAGGAAATGTAG